TATTCAGTATTAAAGTTTAGTACAATTGATTGAAGTTCTGAGAAATAGCAATCTCTTGATGAAATACGAGTTTTGCATAGTTTCATACTATAGTTTATCATTTTCATAACTACATATTACCCTGACACATAATTTCTATAATCAAATGACATTAGAGTAGTCTGTAAAATTGTACTATTCTTTTATTATGTGTTATTTAATATTATTTTCTTGGAAGAGCTGTCTTCCTTTTTTAAGAAGTTAGAGAATAAAACAAAAGTGCTCATAAAATATTCCATTCATCAAAAATAACTGTAACTTTGACCTACTGTGTTATATATAGTAAGCTATTTTAATTTGTGAGTTAACTATATTGTTAAAATATTTTGCAGTCATAAGTACTGAAGAATATACAAATGAAAAAGAAATGCTAGCATCCAGTCATTCTAAGTCCAGCAACTTTGTAGGTGTGGTTTTCAAAGACTTCATGTCCTATGAACTTCGTTTTTTTCCTGATATGATTCCAGTATCTTCTATTTATATGGATTCAAGAGGTAAATAGCCCTAAATAATCATTGAAGATCAATTAAATGCATATCTTTGCTACTTGCAGTTCATATGCAAAATTTGATGTAGTCCAACATTGGCATTTTAAAATTTACTTACTTGTTCAGGTAAGAAAACTTTCCAGTATAGCATAAAATTATTTATATTTAGACAAATATCTATATATACATGATATCAAATATATAATATCCATTTTAATACATTTATATATTAATTACGATAGCATAAAGCAAAATTGTATTTTAAATTAAATGATTTTCTAAATCTATATATTTTTTCCATGTAATTGTTTTCGCTTATGGTATGGTACAAACCTTTAAAATCTCAAGGTCTTCCACCAATAAACTTGATTAGTTTTGCATTTGAAACATAGAAAGCAGCCTTCAGTTGTTTAAACCTGTGAAGAGATATTATCAACCACAAACATTTATTGAACATTGTTAAAGTCACTATGCCAAGTACTGAATTTGATTCCAAATAGCCCTTACTGAAAATTCTTTTTTTTGTTTGCTTAAGCTTGACTTTTCCATGCATATAGAAGTGGTTTGAAGCTAAGTCACTATAGAATGACTTACCTGAAACAGAAATGGAACTCATTATAACTATGTTTATAATTAATTTCTCTCTTTACATTTGTATTCATTTACTATTCAATATTCTAACACATGTAACCATTTTACTTCAGAATTTGAAATAACCAATCAGGAATCTTATAGATATTATTTGCCTTTGAAGGGCAATAGCTTATTTTCTTTTGTCCTGTAGAGACTGATTGATTACATTACTTTGGTAACCCTTCATATGTTATCTTTAGAAGAATGCACTTGCATGTTTTATAAAATCTTAAGTCTCACTTTTTGCTTCCCATAGCTGGCTGTTCAAAGTCATGTGAGGCTGCTCAGTACTGGTCCTCAGGGTTCACAGTTTTACAAGCATCCATAGATGCTGCCATTATACAGGTAAGTATGATAAAGGAAGAAAAACAAAAACCCAAACAATATTTTAACAATTATTTCCTAATTCTTTACAGTAAGATTTGGTTTGACTGCTATCAAATGTACAAAATACATCAAAATATTTGTCATTAAATATGAAATATCTGATTTCAAACCATAAGTTTAGTTTATTATATCTCAAATAAGAAACAGTACAATTAATCAAAGTATGTGCATAAACTATCAACACAGTTTTGCCATCTTAATGGTAGCTTGTTTATGCCAGCAGCGAAGAAACCTGGAGAAAGAGGGGCGATGAAATTGCAAAAGGCGTTTTCCACAGCTTGTTGAGAATTGAATATTTTTCCATGCAAGAAGTGGTCCAAAGCCAGGAAGACGTGGTGGTCAGTTGGTCCAAGGTCTGGTGAATATGGTGGATGACAGAGTTTTAAAGTCCAGGCTCTAGTATGAGCAGTGTTGTTTGTGCGACATGTCGAGTTTTGTCTTGCAAGAGGATTGGCCTGTCTCTATTGACAAATCTCAGGTGCTTAATCAATCACAAGGATCCTCATCATTTCATCCAGTTGGTTGCAGTAGACATTTGCTGTAATTGATTGACCAAGTTTCCCGAAGCTGTAGTGGATAATACCAGCGCTGGACCACCAAAGAGACACCATTAGCTTTTTTTGATGAATACTTAGTTTTGGACTGTGTTTTGGCACTTCATCTTTATCCAACCATTGTGCCGAATGTTTGTGATTGTGAAAAAGAATCCATTTTTCATCATATGTAACAATACAGTGCAGAAATGGTTTGCCTTTATTGTTGTGACAGCAAAAAAGGCAAGCTTTGAGATAATTTCTCTTCAGACTTGGGTTTAATTCATGTGGTACCCATCCATTTAACTTCTTTACCTTGCCCATTTGTTTCAGAATGGTTCAATATTGTTGAAATAGTAATGTCAAACCTTGCTGCTAATTCACACATAGGCTGAGATGAATTTGCTTCCACTAATAGCTTTCAGCTCATCATTATCCACCTTGATCTCAGGTCGCCCATATGGTTCATTTTCAAGATTAAAATCACCAGAATGGAACTTTTCCAACTACGTACTGTGTGTTCATTAGTCACACCCTTCCCAAACATTTTGTTGATATTTCAAGCTGTCGGTGCTGCATTTGTCCGTAACGGAACTCATATTAAAAAATAACATGAATTCTTTACTTATTCATGGTTCCACAAAAATTGCTGTAAAAAAATTGGAAAAATAATCATAAGCCAAACCATGCATTTGAAAGAAAGAGGGTGTATCTTCACAATAAAAATAAAACAAGAAGCGCCAAAGTGAAATGTCAAAGGTATCAACTGTCAAACTTAGTACTTAAGGTAATCAGATATTTCATACTTAATAGCCTAAATGCATAACGTATTACAACTCCTTTAAGAAAAAAGATAACCAAGAAGTCTTACTTTCTGATTTAATACCATGAAATTTATTTAAAAAAATCTTAATTTTGTGTCTGGGCTAGATAGCAGTAAGATCAAGTTTCCTTAGTTAGAATTCAAACTATTCAAATTAAACATATCTCATTCCTCCATGTTCTATATGTATATGCCTTCTTTTTTTCTATTTGCTTTTTCTAATTACAATTTACTTTGCTACAAAATACTGTAATTTCAAAAATGCGCAACGAGGCCGGGCGTGGTGGCTCACGCCTGTAATCCTAGCACTCTGGGAGGCCGAGGCGAGCGGGTTGTTTGAGCTCAGGAGTTCGAGACCAGCCTGAGCAAGA